AAAAGTTTCCACAACAAAACAATACCAGGACATTATACCAGAACTTGTGGGGCACAGTGAAAGCGGTTTTAGAAGGGATATCATAGTGGCAAATTCCCACATCAGAAAAAGTAAGCTCAAATAAATAACCTAATGTTAAACAAATTTTGAGAAGAAGAAGAATAAATTAGATGAAATAAAATAGACAATTCCTTAACCTCATTAAAAAACCCAAATCCATGCAATTAGGAATGAACAGTGCAAAATCACAATGGCTCTTGAAGAAATCCAAAAGATCAACACCTACTTTGAGAATCTACTTTAATATGGAAAACAATAAATGGAAAGATTCATAGATACATGAATTACCAAAACTGAATATCGAGAAGATATAAAAATTCTAAACACTATCAGTCAATGAAATTTTAAAAAGTAATTTTAAAATTACCAATGAAATAGCCCAGCTCCTAATGGAGTCACTGCTGAATTCTACAAGAACTTTAGAGATCTAGTACCACTACTTCTCAAATTCTATAAAATTAAAAGGGAAGCAGTACCTCCAAATTTATTCCTGGAACCAAGCAATGCCCTGATACCAAAACCAGAGAAAGAACCAAGAAAAAAGAAAACTAGGCCAATCACCCTAATGAACATAAGTTCAAAAGTCTGCAATAAGATATAAACAGAATGCAGGAGATCATCAAGAAGATTATACACCAGGGCCAGGAATATAGCTTAGTGGCACAATGCCTGCCTGACAAGTGCAAGGTTGTGAGTTCAATTACTGGACACCCACCCCCCAAAAAAATGTATACATTATAACCAAGTAGGTTTCATTCCAATAATTCAGGAGTGTTCAACATTTAAATCAATAAATGTAATACACCACATTGACAGAACCAAGGACAAAAAAATGATCATCTCAAGAGATACAGAAAAAGCATTTGACAAAGTCCAACAACCATTCATGATAAAAAAAGAAAAACTACAGAAAATTGGTATAACCCAGGCATAGTGGCACACTATGCCTGTAATCCCAGCATCCTGAAGGCTGAGGCAGGAGGATCATTATGAGTTTGAAGCCAGCCTGGACTACATAGTGAATTCAAGACCAGCTTGAACTACACAGTGAGACCCTGTTTCAATAAAGACTGAAATAAGTAAAGAAAAGGAAGGAAGGAAAGAAAGTTGCAATAGAAAATCTTTTATCTCAATCCAATAAAAGCTATCTATGAGAAACAACTGCAAACATAATGCATGGTGAAAATTTTAAAGATTTCAGTCCAAGGAACAAGACAAGGATGCCTACTATCACCAATCCTTTTCAATATAGTTCTGGAAACAGCAATTTAAATGAGAGAGAGAGAGGAAAAAAAAAAGGAGTAAGAATAGGAAAGGAAGTTAAATTGTCATTATTTGCATATAATATATCCTAAATTGAAGACCCCAAAAATTCCACTGACTGACTCCTAGAATTAATAATCACATGCAGCAGCATAGAAGGATACAAAGTGAACACAAAGTCAATAGCATTCTTGTACATGAACAACATTCACTGAAAGAAATTATGGAAACAATATGTTTCACAATGGCATCAAGAAAAATAAGATGCTCAGGAATCAATTTAATGAAGTAAAAGCAGTTTACATTGAAAAATAATGTATTCTCAAAAAGAAGATTGAAGAGGATATCAGAAAATTGAAAGACATCCTATTCTTGAGTAGGCAGAACCAGTATAGCAAAATTGGCCATATTTCCAAAACTGTTATACAGATTTTAATGCAAACTCGATTAAAATGCCAATAGCAATACCTCACAGAACTAGCAAAAACAATCCTAGAATTCATTTGGAAGTAGAAGAGACCTAGAATAGCAAAGGCACTTCTGGCTACAAAGGCAAGGCGGAGAGCATCACAATCCCCATTTGAAGTTATTTTACAAAACTACTGTGAAAACAGCACCAAGGTAATGGCGCAACAAAACAAAAAACAGATCCAAAAATCAATGGAACAAAATAACAACTGCAGAGACAACTTTAAACACGTTCCTTGACAAAAGAGCCAAACATCTTTACTGGAAGAGAGATAACCTGTTTAATAAATAAATGAGAGGGCCAGCCAAATAGCTCAGCTGATTAAAGCGCCTGCAAGCAGGTGCAGGGGCCTGCCGTGCCGGCTCCATGCCCAGGGCGCGCTGAGATGGCAGTTGAGACTGGGCATGGTGGTACATGCCTGTAATCCCATGGCTTGAGAGGCTGTAAACAGGAGAATCACTACGAGTCCAATCTAGTAGTGAGACCCTGAACACCCTGTAGACCCTTCCCTAAAATACAGAAATAAATAAATGGGAAAACTGGCTTTCCACTTATTGAAAATTGAACCCAGACTCATCTCTCAACATGCATATATATATATATATATATATATATGATCAAATATAATACAGAAACAATCTCCTGGAAAGATAAAAATAGATAATACTCTTGAATACATAGTTGTAGGCAGTCTTTATGAAGAAAACCCTGATAGCACAGGAAATATTACAAACATTCTCAAAAAGGAGATCATATAACTGGGATTATATTAAAAAGCCATTTATTTATTTATTTATTTATTTATTTATTTATTTATTTATTGTGGTACCAGAGGTCAAACTCGGGACCTTGCAATTGCCAGGCATCAAGAAGCTTTTGCAGGCCCGGCCAGATAGCTCAGCAGACTAAAGTGCCTGCTCTGGCAGAGCGCCTCTGCTGTGGTTCCATCCCCAGCTTGCTGTAGTTTGATTCCCCAGCTTGCTGTGCTGGCCCCGCCCCCGGACACGCTGAGCTAGCAATTGAGACTGGGCCTGGTGGCACACATCTGTAATACCAGCACTTGGGAGGCTGAAAACAGGAGAATCACTATGAATCCGATCTATGTAGTGAGACCCTGTACACCAAGCCCTAAATTCATTTAAAAAAAAAATTTTTTTTTAAATCTTTTGCAATGAAGAGATAACCCAGAGTGGGAAAAACCTTATCAGCTATTCTTGAGACAAATGACTTGTATCTAGAATATATAAAACTGAAAATCAGATCCCTCATCTAAAAAATGGGCATCTGAAATAAAGATGCAACACATTTCTCAAGTGAAGTACAAACAGATATATGAAAATATACTCAACATCACCAGTCAAGAAATGCAAATGAGAACAATACTGAGATTCCATCTCACTCTAAGAAAGAATGGCTATCATCAAGACGTCTAGGCAGTGAATCCCAGGATTGGGTGACCCTGAACAATCGTGCAGTCATCACCGACTACTCCAAATACACTCCTTTCTCTCAAGAATCTCATCCCAAGTCATACACTCAGGTTCTTATTCTTCTGCTTCCTGTCATAAAGTTTAAAATATCTAATTTTCAACTACCGTAATAGATACCACTGTAGATAGCAAAGATTAAACCTGAGTGGTTGGAACTAAAGGCACTTTGATATCAGTATGAAAGGTGTCTGCCTAAGTGTCTTTCTAGGTGACCCCAAGCCAACTAATGGTCAGCATCCTTCCCCATACACTCCACAGGGACTCACTTGCTTGTGAAGTTGGCAAAACGAGTTAGTGCTCACAGCAATACAGGTTAAACTTGTTAAATAAAAGATGAAACAAAACAAACCCATGATGTTGCAGGGCGTAGTGGCACATGCCTGCTGAGGTAGGAGGATCACTGTGAGTTTGATACCAGTCTGGGCTATATAAACAAGTTCAAGACCACCCTCAATTGCATAGTGAGACCCTGTCTAAAAAAAAAAAAAAAAAAAAATCATGTTAGTGTTACAAAACTCATGAATGTGACATCAGGGTGCCTCGGGAATGGGTAATGTCATCAGGATGTTAATGATAATGCTCGGGTCATAAAGAATTTTTGGTGGTGAAGGTGATCAAATTGGATCTGATAAGAATAATGGATGGCAGCAGCTGGGAAGGTTGGTGAGACCCTTACAATGTTAATGTGAGCACCAGAAGACTGGGCTAGTGTTTAAAGGTTTTTATAAGCCTTTAAAAAGACTGGCACATGCACTTGATAATTGGTCGACTGCTACGAGTTTCAGGGTAATCCTATTGTTCACTCTCCCTATATCCATGACCAGCGACTAATAACCCCGTACCACACATGCGTTTTTTTGTTTTTTTGGGTTTTTTTCCGTTACCAGGAATCAAACTCACGACCTCGCACTTGCCTGGCAGGCTGTGCCATATCCCCAGCACACCTGTCACTTTATTTTTATTTTTTTATTGGCGGAACCGGGGATTGAACTCATGTCCTTGCACTTGCCAGCCAAGCGCTTATTCAATGAGCCATCTCCCCAGCCCACACCTGTCACTTTAAACACATCAAATCTTTCCATACTAGCTCTGAAGAATTACACTTTTCAGTGGCAGTATGCAAATATCCTATATACGTTGAAACCAACATAATATGACAATTGAAAGGAAACTTCACAGGGTTTCCTTTTTAGGAACCTTCCCTGTTTGCGGATTAGGGGTGCTCGGAAACCTTGTCATAGATAAATACAACTTTTCAGTACTTGGTCCTGAGTCTCTACACCGCCCTAGCCGTTCTCATTAATGGGACGAATGAGAGGCAGTGAATTCTCCGCGTTCTAGCCTCCCAATTGCAAGGTCTTCAGGGAGGGATTCTTTGCCCCAGCACCGGGACTAAAGAGAAACAGGAAATGTCAGTCCCCTTTAAGGCAGACGAATCCCCAATTCGGAAATCGAAGTCCAGGGACTGAACTGGAAAGCAGAGAAACAAAGGTCGTAGAAAGAGCGCCCCTCGGAGGGTGCCCAACCCCGCACCAGGACGCGCACCTGGCGCTCTCAGTTCGGTGTTCCGGGACCCGCGTCGAGAAACCCCTCCACCCAGCCCGCTGTCCCGGAGCGTCCTCTCGCGCCCCCGCGCGCCCGGCCGGGGACGCACGTCCGCGCGCTCCCTCTGAGCGGGGGGCGGGGCCGGCGCGGGAGCGCGCGCGCGGAGCCGCGGGCAGGGGGGCGGGGCGGCAGAGTTCGGCGGCTGGGCCTGGAGGACAGCTGCGGCGGAGGCGACAGCGAGCGGTGGGAGCGGCGCCGAGAGGCCGTACGGGGCGCGGGTACCAGGAAGGGGGAGCATAGAGGTAACGCAGGACGGAACAGGCGGGCGAGGAGTGTGCGCGGACTTGCGGGGCCCCGGAGGCGGCTGGCGGAGGCCGCTCGCCCGGGGCGCCGACGCCGCTCCCGGAGAGGAGGGGGCGGGGCGCTTGGGTCTCGGGAGGTGGCGCCTTTTGTCTGCCCGCGGCGGCCGCTCCGCCCCCGCCCTCCCCTGCGACCTAGCCCCCTGCCCCTCTCGCGGACGCCTCCTTGGGGGCCCCGCGGCGCGCTCCCGCCCTTGTTTTGTTTGGACTTGGGGGAGGAGGGGCAGCGCTTCCCTGGCCGTGCGCCCCCCTGCGTCCCAGCGCGCCTGCGCCGGCGTGCGCTGCAGGCCCCCATTGGCTGTGGCGTCGCGCCTGCGCGGAGGCCGCGCAGAGGTTGTGCTGCGGCTACGCGGCCTATAGTCCGCCGCGCCCTCCCCTCACCCCACTCCCTCTGCGGTCTTCGGAGCCGGTTGGAAAGATGCTGGCGGCGGTGACTGGCTGCGGCGGTTCCGCCCCCCCGGGTTCCCCGCCCCTGCCGCCGCCGCCGCCGCCGCCGCCGCCATTACGGAGCTCCCTGTGGTGAGTGTGCGGAGCCGACGCGGGTGTTCCTGCTGGGCAGAGCCTGGGGCTGTCGCCGGGCGGTGGCTGCTCTGCGTCCGTCATCTGAGAGTCCCTGAGCCGGTCCCCGCTTGCTGGCCCTCGCGTAGCGCGTTCGCAACTGAGACCCTGCAGCGCTGCCCGTCGGTGCCTCGTGTCTTTGTCTCCGCTCTCTTGGCCGCGCTCCTCTGCCTTCCGCGGGCGCGCTCGGCTTCGCTGTGCGGCCATGGCGGCCTTGCGCTTGGGGCTTCTGCTGGCCTCTAAAACTTGTTACCGCTGTACCCTGGGCGGCGAGGTGTGAGTCCGAGAATCGCTTCGGTGGGTTACGAAGAGACGGGCTGATCGTTGTACGCCTTTGCAACTAGATGAAGGCAGGAGTGGTGAAGTGAGAGCCCCTGATCTGAATCGACCCCGACTTGACCACTCTGTTCCAGAGGGCGGACACCTAGCTTTAGGTTTTCCGAGACAGAATTGTGACCTCCACCGAGGGACAGGATCGGTTAGGACTGTATTGCCCCTTCTTCATATAATCCTCCCTCGGTGCTTTATTGTGCTTTCTGACTTTACGTTGAAAACCGTAAATAACGGCTGGCAATTCCCGATCTTCCAAGCATTCACTCTCCACCTAGAGTGAAATTACACGTGACTAATGTCATTTTGAAAGATACTTTATAAATTTGTTTAGTCTGGCATAGGCATAAAATGAGCATTTAAAATTTTGACTGCTTCAAAAAGTTCAGTGTTAATTGCAAAGTAGATGAAACATTTTAAAAGGTTTTTTGAGGGCTTTGTTTTGTAAGCTTACTTGAAAGATTGAGAGCTGGAAATTTGTAGAGGAAGTAGGTATGAATTTTTCACATAGATGTAGACCTTAACTAGTCCGAATGTGATTATCTTAAGAGGAAGGACCACATATTTTTAGTGCCTGCGGAAAGTAGACACCAGTACATACTGATTTATTGAAGTGTGAAAATGAAAAACGAAAATTGCTAATAGTCATTACAGACATAATTACATTATTGTGAAGCTTTACATTTCATAATATATCTGAGTGTAGTAAGAGACTAGCTTTTGAGCAATTTGAGGTAGCTTACAGTTAGTGACATTCGTGGCATGAGAATTAATATATTACATAAATTTTTATGATGTTGTGAAAGAGTATTTCCCTTAAAAATGCATATTGAGCACATCAGTAAAGTGAAATACATTGTTAAACTAATTTTCTGTTGGCTTTTCTTAATGTAAATGGAATCAAAACGAAGTTTTGAACTTTTTCTACAAGTCCTTCATTACCTGCTTTAGAACAGATTAGGCATTTTCTTTGACAAAAGTCCTTGAATTGTCAGTCTCACATTAAATTAAAACAAATTTTGTTTTGGGCATATATAAAAACCCAGGTGAAAAAAATTAATTTTTCTTTATTCAGTCTTCAACAACTACTGCAATGTGTTGAGCCTATTGTATGGCTGGTTTGTTCTTAGGCAGCAGTATATAGTGAGGAACCACGTAAGTTCCCTGCCAGAGCTGGACATGGTGGCTCAATGCCCATAGTCCTAGTACTTGGGAGGTTGAGGGAGGAAGATTGCTGTGAGTTCAAGGCCAACCTAGGTTACATGAAGAAATCCTATTTTTAAAAAAGTTTACCACCAGCCTGAACTACACAAAGCCAGACCTTGTTTCAAAAAAAAAAAAAAACCAAAATGAAAGATTCCTGCCAGGGACTAAGCATGGCAGCCTAAAAAGGCTTAGTTAATAGACACATGGTAGTGCTAAGGCACAGTGATAACTCATTGAGCCAAAAAAGAAAAAAAAACCCTACAGAGTGAAACTTTAACGTTTAAGACCTTTTTTGTTTGTTTGTTTGCGGAACCAGGGATTGAACTCAGATCCTTGCACTTGCCAGGGAAGTGCTTATTCCATTGAGCCAGCTCCTGGTCCCTAAGATTTTTTATTAAGGAAAGAGAGCTAAGGTAAATGTTTCTCTTTTGACTGCATTTGCATTTGCAGGCACTTAAACACCTGAGCTAACTGGCACCTCCCCCAGGCAAATTTTTTGTTTGTTTTTTGTTTTTGTAGAACTGGGGATTGAACTCAGGTCCTTGCACTTGTCAGGCAAGCGCTTGTTCTACTGAGCTATCTCCCCAGCCCCAGCAAACGTTTCTTAATACTCCAAATAGGCTACATATTTTTAAATGTATGAATAGTAACTGTAGTAATCTATACTACCAGATTTTGTTTACAGTGGTCCCTCACTTATCACGGAGGTTACCTTTTAGACATCCCCACAGTAAGTGAAAATCAGCGAAGTAGTGATGTTATATTGTAGTATTTATATATTTTAAGACTTTATGAACCCCACATTAATAAACATTTCCCATGCCTTTAAAAACACTTCTGATGTTCTTAATATTGAGTAAACTTGTAAACCTACATAATTTTAGCAACATACATATACCGTACATACTCCAAGATCCCTCTATATAATGAAAAATCCGCAATGAAAAATTTATTTTTTGAAAACCCACTAAACAGTCCACGAAAGTGGAACTGCAGAATAGTGAGGGACTACTGTGTTCAACTGTTTCTTTTTTTTTTTTTTCTTTTTGTATTTTAGGGGAGGGTCTACAGGGTGTTCAGGGTCTCACTACTAGATTAGACTCTGTAGTGATCCGCCTGTTTACAGCCTCCCAAGAGCTGGGATTGCAGGTGTGCACAACCATGCCCAGTTTCAGTTGCCATCTCAGCGGGCCCTGGGGTCAAACCCCTCCCTTATCCACTGAGCTATTTGGCCAGCCCTTAATTTTTCTAATAAATATGGAGTGCTCACTATATGTTGGATACTGTTGTAGATGCAGTAGTGGTCTGTTGAGTATTTACATTTCATTTGAAGATACAGTCAACCACATGTTGGGCTGAGGATATTTTTAGGTGCTCTAAAGAAACCCAAGAAATACGGGATGTCTTTCTGGAAAATAGTTCTTGCTGAGCAAAAATCTGAAGAATTTCGGAAAAATTTCAGTTTAGAAAAACAGTGAGTACAAAGATCCTCAGGTAGGCATGAGTAGAACACATTGCGAGAGCCACAGGATTTGTGTTTGGAGCCAACAAAGTAAAGTGATGGATGTGACGTAGGAGGTGAGGTTAGTAAGGTAAGAAGGTGGTATTGGGAGATTTTAAATAGGATGTCAGTATCTTTTTACTTTTTGGAGGGGGTCTGGGTTTTTTGGTTATTTTCTGATACTGGTTTTGTTTTTGTTTGTTTTTGGTAGATATAGCTAGGAAGAGTGGTAGACCAACTTCATAGGCCAGCCTGGACATACTTTTTAATCCGGTGAGGTGTGAACTATCATTCTTGTCTTTTAGACTAATGATGTTTGTTTATGGGCCATGAACCTGTTGTTGCTCTACTTTTTAGCCAGTTTAATCGCTTTGACATTAACTTCCTTTGTCCCCCATTCCTTTTTAAACCTGTTTTGAGTAATTAGTAAATATAAAGGGTTTTTTTAATGTTTCATTTTATTGGTACATTTTATTTTTAATAATTTTATTGAGAAATAGCAATGAGAGTTTCAAAACGGATTAGTAGGAGAGTTTCAATAATTAATACATTGCATATTGTCTTCTTAGTGGTTATTTATTGGTACATTTTAGATATACATAATGATAGTATTACTCATCATAGGGAATTTATACCTGTACATGATATCTTTTTTTCCTATTCTGCTCCCATTCCTTCAAGCCTTCTTCCCCAAAACTTTGTTTCCATTTTTTCTTTCTGTGAGTACAGAATTTACTGCAAAGATTTGGCCTTTTTTTAGTACTTTGCTTACAGGGAAAATATTTAATGATACCTGTAAATAAGAGATTCAGAAACTTTTTATTGACTTAATGGTAGGATTTTCAACCTAACTAGTCTTATCATAGGTTAAGAAAGATAAATTGATTAAAATCCATTGGCAGTGTTGCTTTAACAAGGATAATCTAATTGTGGTGATTTACTTCTGTACACTGTTTGCATGTAAAAATAGCAAATTTGTTGCTTTTTATTATCAAGGAAAATGTATTATTATGGCATAAGTGCTAGGTGATAAACATGTTCATATATATAAATTGTCCCAAAATAGATTTTTAGTTTTCACAAGCCTAGATAATGCCCTTCAGCCATCTTGACCCTCTTTTCACAGATCAGAAAACAGCTAATTCATGTGGATTATTTGTAATTTTTAAGTGAATTGGAACACAAGTATTTTTCATAGTTTTCTTCTTAGCAGTTAATTAAGTAGTCATGGTATTCCTAATTCAGTATTAATAGTTTTAGTGGATTATTGTATCATCTTTTAGCTACTTTTCCTTGCAGCTAGTTGATAATTCACAATATAGTATTGCTTCTGTGTTCCTATAAAAAGATCTTTACTATGACTGAAAGCATTGTCTTATGTTCAGATTTTTAAAGTTTATACTAGCTTGTTGCTGCTTGTGACTGTTACCTGATAAGTTGAAAGCTCTTAAATTCGTAGACAGGGCCAGAGTTTAAAGTAGAAGTTAGTTTATCATTCCTTTTTGTTAACTGTTCATTAGCACAGAGAACTGTTCTTATACTGAGGGATTTTTATTATATAATATCATTGAGTTCCAGTAAGATTGGAGGGGGTGTTGATAATCAGGTAAAATAGGGTGACTACATGAGTTTTATCTGTAATTATTTAATTATATTGTTCTCTACTTGGCTTAGCTTACAGTAAAAATACTACAAATAAGTCTTAGAAACATGCACACTTCTATTCTCACAGATAATGGTGTAAATTTACTTAAGATCTGGAGGTTCTTATAATGTGTTCTTCCTCATTTTTGTCCTTAGATTTTCTATTCCTAAAGAAAAAATACTTCTCTAATGGAGATAGAGTTAAGATTAATTTTTCTGACCCCTTTGAGAACAATTGAAACAAAAGCCTTCTTTTTAGTAAACTGGTCTTTGATTAAACATTTCACTAAGCCATTCCTTAGTCTTATCTTTGTTAAATTCTGATGTTAGCAGGAGGGTTTGGGGTTAGGGTTCTTTATGTGCTTTCTTGTCATTGTCTTTGTTGATGTAGAAGGTGCAACATCTGCTGTGGCTTATGCATTTGTCTTAGTGGCTGCTTTACATAGTCTGTGTTTCAGTAGTGGTTTTATCTTTTTGATTAATAATTTGTTATGGGTGATGTAACTAAGTTTTATAGTTATTTTTTTCTCTTTCAATGTATATTAAATTTAGACGTTTTAGTTTAGTTTTGTTTCTGTTAATCTTCACACCAGGTCTTTTCTGTGCTTTAGGTTGATTCTTCATCACACTGAAACCATTAGGAAAAATCCTTGTGGTTAACAGCAGAGGCTTCAGAGTGTAACCTGTACTCGAGCCTAGAAATTATTTTAAATGGCGACTGATACGTCTCAAGGTGAACTCGTCCATCCTAAGGCACTCCCACTTATAGTAGGAGCTCAGCTGATCCACGCGGACAAGTTAGGTGAGGTAGGGGCTGATGCATTCTTGAAGCTCACTCTTGGATCAACCCTTCACTTCAGGGCCTGCTGGGTTCTTCTTGGTACAAGTTCCTTCCCCAACTTTGGGAAGATTAGGTTGTGAGTCTGAAGAAAAATCTAATGGATACAAAGTTCTTCTCATCTTCCCCTCCCTCAAATCCCTGAGAAAGCTTTCAGCCTTCTAAACTGATTTCAAGTTATTCTAAATTGTTTCCAAAGAATTCTGAAGATTATTTCTCTAAAAAAAATTTCACTTTAAAAATTATTTAAAATAATATGCATCAGATCCTAGAGTTGACTTGAAGAATTCTCCTACATCTTTTGACACCCAGTTAGGCCCCTTGAAAAAGAGAAAGAGAATTTTTTTATGCATGTTTGATTATGATCATCTCTTTTCTTAGAAGGTAGAAGATAGCACCATGCCGATTCGTCGAGCTGTGAATTCTACCCGAGAAACTCCACCCAAAAGCAAACTTGCTGAAGGGGAAGAAGAAAAGCCAGGTAAAGCAGTGGCACAGAAGGCGGCAAAAGCTTTTACTTTAGTTTGGACTGTTTCATAAGCCCCTTCCCCCTTTTTTTTTCTCGTAAGTCCCTTTGAATGTATTGTTATCTTTGCATGGGTAAGTGCTGTAGGGGAACATTTAAAGAAAAAAGCAGTTTTTGGAAGGTGAAAGTATAATGTCCTTGAAATTGAAAATACAAAAATAGAATAGGAACAGAAACAGTGGAATCGTGGGCATAATAATGTCATGGGAAGGAAGATTCATAGGAATTCCAGAGTATTTGGGCCTTCAGGACAGACAGTGGAAGGTTTGCCCAGAAATCAAGAGGCCTTAAGGGAAGCAAAAAAGTGACCAAAAATTTGTTGATAATTGATATTGATAGAGAAGAGATTGGCCAGTCAGGTAGGAGCATAATGAAATGCAGACCCATCAACTTGAAGGATTAGTGCTCCTTTATAGAGTCTCAAATTACCTTTGTTCCTTTTCCCTCTTTTTTGTCTTTGCTGCTAATATTTTCCTTTCTCCTTTGTATTTTTTCTCAGGTTTGCTGGGAATGAGATGTTTGCAAGCCAGATTATGAATAGAAAATTAGGACCAGATTAGGAATAGCAAATACAGTACATCCTTGTTGCATTTAGCCATTAGTGTACAAGAGGTTTGTACCTCAACTTTGGGGTCTAGATACTTAGAATGAGTTCTGTAAACAATTTACCCTGGCCTAATGTAGTTAGGGTACATGACGTGCTCTGGTGAATTGATGATTTAATAACACTGGGATAAGCCCCTAAATGTCAGGATATATGGCAGAGCTTTCTGGTGCACATTAGAAGAGTCAACCAAAAATTTATAAAGTAACTGTATTACTTCATAAGTTGTATATTTGTTTAATCTTCTTTATATCTCATTGTTACTTTGTAATGATAGATAGCACTCATTTTAAATTTTGTAAACCCTGCATTTCACACAAGCAGACACAGTGGTTTAAGGAGTTGGAAACATTGTCTTTTATATACAGCATTCTCTGTTCAGCATTCTCAGACTCTGTTCTAAGTCTTTGTTAAGCCATATCTCTAAAACAACTACAGAGGCCAGGCATGGTGGCATATGCCTGTAATCCTAGCACTTTAGAGGCTGGGGCAAGAGGATCACCACAAGTTTTAAACCAGCCTGGGCTACATATTCAAAGCCAGTGAGACCCTGTCTTTACAAAAAAAGTGGAGGGGCAGGAGATAACTCAGTGGCTTAGGGTGCCTGCCTGACAAATGCAAGGTCCTGAGTTCAATCCCCAGTACCAGAAAAAAATAAAATAGCAAGTATAGGCATACCTCACAGATGGTTGCTTCAGTTCAGGACTACTGCAGTAAAGCAGGTAACATGATAAACATTTCCTAGTGCATATAAAAGTTACACCTACAAAAAGAAAAGTTCCAGGGCTGGAGACATAGCTCAGTGGACTAAATGCCTGCTTAGGCAAGCTTCAGGACCTGAGTTCGATCCCCAGCACCACATGCTGTGCTGGCCCTACCCTTGATCACACTGAGCCAGCTACTGGGTCCAAGTGTTCTGGCACATACCTGTAATCCCAGCGCTGGGGAGGCTGAAAACAGGAGGATTGCTGAGTCTGAGCTGTGTAATGAGACCCTGTACTAAATATATTTTTTAAAAAAGCTTCACTTATACTGTACTATAATATGTTAAGTGTACAGTAAATTTATACCTAAGGAACTACATGCCTTAATTAAAATAGGTTATTGCTGAAAATTACTAATAGTCCTTCAGACCCTTACTGTTAAAAACTGGGTTGGGGGGGTGGTTAGTGAAGGTTAGAATGGCTGATTCTGTTTCTTATACTAATACAGTGAAATTTGACATATCAACTGACCCTTGCTTTCAAAAACAGTTTTACATGATGATGCTAATAGCCTTTATTCACAATAGAACCTTTTTTCAAAGTTGAAGTTAATCCTCTCAGTTCCTGCATTTTATCAACTACATTTGTTTTTGTGGTACTAGGAGTCAAAACCATGACCTTGGCATTGAGTTATAACCCCACCCCATTTTTATAAAATTCATCTTGAGACACAGATTCAGTAATAATCACTCACCCAAACTGGGCTCAAACTTGGAAGCCTTTATCTCATTTTCCCAGACTACAGGGGTCACAGGTGTGCACTATAGCTTCTACCTCATCTAAGTTTACATAATAGGTTCTTATGTCATTTGAACAATGTTCATAGCAAATTCACCAGGCAGAAATACCACTTCTTTGCTCATCTGTGAGAAGTGGCTCTTCATCCGTTCAAATTTTATCATGAAATTGTAGCAATTTAGCTGCATCCTTAGGTTCCATTTGTGAGTTTAGTTGTTTTGCTATTTCTGTTACATACATTTGCAGTTAATTTCTCTCCTGAAGTTTTGAATCCTCCAAAGGCATTTATGAGGTTAAAATTAACTTCTTCCAAATTCCTTGTTTGTTTTGATACTTTGACCTCTTCCTGTAAATTGTGAATGTTCTTATTATAGTGAGTGGTGAAACCATTCCAGATGGATTTCAGTTTATTGGCAGTATCTATCAGAATCACTGTCTATTGAAACTATATGGCCTTAGACAAAAATAATGAAACAAAACCATTTATACCCTATACCTAGCTACAAAAAAAAAATTTTTTTTTAATGTATTTGGTTGTTACAGGGTCTCACTATTCAGATTGGACTCATAGTGATCCTTCTGTTTTCAGCCTCTCCACTGGGATTATAGACATGCACCACTCTGCCTCTGTGGCCTGGCTCAGCCCACCCTGGTAGCAGGGCTGGCGCAGTATGTGGTACTGGGGATCAAATCATGGTACCTGCTTTTACCTATGCTTGCTTAAGCAGGCGCTTTAGTCCACTGAGCTATCTCACTGGCCCCAAAAACATTTCTTACATAGTAAAATGAGGCTGTACATGTCTGTAAACCTAAACTTAGGCGGCTGAGGTAGGAGGATCACTGGAAGTTCAGAGTTAGCCTGGGTTACAAGGTGAGTTCAAGGCCAGCCTGACCTGCATAGTGAAACACTGTTGCAAAAAGATCCTGCCCCCCAAAAATAAAATAAAGATATAACATGTAAAAGTTGAAATTATTCCTCAATCCATGTAGTGCAAAATAGATGTGTTAGTAGGAATATAAACAACATTAATCTCATGTTTCCATCAGAGTTCTTAGGTAATCAGATGAATTGTCAGCAGTAAGGTTTTGGAAGCACTCTTTTATGAGCAGTAGGTCTCAACAAAGAGCTTAAATATTTAGTGACCCATGTTGTAAATAGATGTGTTCTCATCTAGGCTTTGTTACTCCATTGATAGAGCACAAGATTAGATTTAGTGTAATCCCTTTTCTTTTTTTCTTTTTCTTTTTCTTTTTTTTTTTTTTTTTTCGGAACTGGGGATTGAACTCAGGCTCTTGCACTTGCCAGGGAGGTGCTTATTCCACTGAGCCGTCTCCCCAGCCCCTTAGTGTAATTCTTAAGGACTGTAGGATTTTCAGAATGGTAAATGAACATTGGCTTTAGTTTAAAGTCACCAGCTATTTTAGCCTCCTCATCTTCTAATATAAAAAAGGGTTTTTGTCCACTTAGAAAAATCTATTGTTCAGAGTAGCCTCCCTCACCAGTTATCTTAGCTAGATTTTTTGAATAACTTACTGCATCTTCTGCATTAGCACTGGCTGTTTGCTCTTGTGAAAGAGTTGGCTTTCTCTCTTAGATCTCATGAACCATCCTCTGCTAACTTCACATTTTCTTCTAAAGCTTTTTCCTCTCATCCTACATAGTTCGAAAGAGTTAGGGCTTTGCTCCTAATCAGGTTTTGACTTACGAGATTGTTGTGGCTGGTTTGATCTTCCATCCAGATCACTAAAATTGTCTATATATCAATGATAAAACTGTTTCATTTTATCATTCATACACAGTATTTACAAGAGTAGCAATTTTAATTTCCTCTAATAATTTTTCTTTGCATCTGTGGTTTGGCCACTATTTCTCAAAATAGATTGAGCTTTTGGCCTGTTTCAACTTTTAACGTGCCTTCCTCACTTGGTCTAGTCATTTCTAGCTTTTGAATTGAAATAAAGATGCAAGCTGTGGCATGACGACGGTGTGTGTCTGTAATCCCAACATTCTGGAAGTGAAGCATAAGGATCAAAAGTTCAAGCCCAGCCTGAGCAACTTGTCAGTTTACCTAGACTTATCTAAATGTAGAAAAGGGGCCGAGCATGTAGCTCATTGGAAAGGCCTTATCCGCACAACTGCCCCAAAATGGTGTGGTGGTAGGGGTTTTGCAGTTTTTCATTTCAGAGGCCATTGTAGGATTATCATTATAATCATGTTTTGTTTTGTTGGTTTTTTTTTTTTTTTTTGCGGAACCGGGGATTGAACTCAGGCCCTTGATATAATCATGTTTTGGAGTAGGGAAGCCTGACAAGAGTGGAGAGCTAGAAGAAACAGCTGTTCAGTGGAGCAGTTAAAACACACTTTTTATCAGTTTAGTTTGCTGGCTTACATGGGCATAGTTCTGTGTCACCCAGAAGAATGAACAACAGTGATCTCAAAGGTGACTATTTATCACCATAACTGATAATAAGGAAAAAGCTTGAAAATAAGTGATGTTGGAAAAAAAATAGCACCAGCAGACTTACTGTAAAGCTATCACAAACTTTCAATTTATTTTAAAAAACTACAAAGCTCAGTAAAACGATATTTCTGTATACTTTTTCCTTTTGTTTTCTGTCAGTTCTTTTCTCTTTGGTGCTGGGTATAAACCCTTGTACATATGGAAAACAATGCAAAATTTATAGTTTGTGCTGTTTTTATAATTAAGTCATTCTTGGCTTATCTTTTTTAAAATAAGGCAGTACATAAACATAAGGTTAAGTAATTGTAAATTCTTAATTTGTATAGCTAATTAGGTCAAATTATTGTGTAAGGGGAAGTTCATGATAGTTCACATCACATCATGACAAAAAATATACCTTACCATTGGAAATCTAAATGAGTTATTCTCTATACCCTGAGATATAGTATACCATTGTTATACTGAAGTTCTATCCTTAATATTTAAAACATGGGAAACAGTTGTAAAAGCATCAGAATAGGCCAAAGCAGGGCAGGAGTTATTCACTTAGTATGATTGCTGGCCTGTAGGCTTCCCCTTAAACACTTTATAATCCTCGTATCTGTGAGGTAAGGATAATGAGACTTGTAGATGTCAGAGGACTTGCCCTAAGTCCATTAAGCTGGAAAATTCCAAAGACTGAACTAGAGTTGAGATTTTAACTCTAAAACCTTAGTCGTCTGAAGAGATTTGGAAGGCATTTGTACTAGGCTAATATAGGCAAGTCAAGGCCAGGGATTTAGCCCAGCATCTGCCTGGCAAGCACAAGGTTGTGAGTTTGATTCTTGGTTCCCCCCCCCCCAAAACACACACACACACACACACACACACACACACACACAAGTCAGTTGAGAGCATTAGTCTTGCATAAGATTTGTAATTGATAGTTGATTATTCTGAAATTTATGGTTTGTTGAGAAATGAAAAATTCTTTTGCAATTTAGTTTTATTTTTGCAATTTGATAAGATAGACGTGGCATTCTCTTTATGCGAAAACTACAAACTTAATCCTTTATTCTGTGCCTGATTTTTCTTTTTTTTTTTTTACTTTGCTGGGTCTTGAACTCAAGACCTTGCACTTGCCAAGCAGGTGATGCCACTGAGCCTGATTTTTGCCACTTGAGTCTTGTTTGAAATCTCTCTGTAAGCAATGGAAGTAATTCTGTGTTTTAGTAGCTTTTCTGAGGCTTGCTGTAAAGAAAAGGCACAGACAACTGTAGATCCTCATATTTCTGTTTGGTCCTAATCAGTCATTTCATCTGGAAGTGTATATGCTATTTCTTTTTTTAAAGATTTATGAGTTAGAGCCAGGGAGATAGCTCAGTGGCTTAAGTGCCTGCCTGGTAAGTGCAAGGTCCTGAGTTCAATCCCCAGTAATGCAAAAAAAGATTTGCCAGTTAAAAATGACTTTTTTTGGGCTGGTAAGATGGCTCAGTGGTCTAAAGCACCTACTTAGAACAAGCTTAGCAAAGCACAGGGACCGCGGTTCAATCCCCCAGCACCACATGCCAGCCAGTCCCGCCCCCTTGGTGGGCTGAGCTGGCCACACACACACACACACACACACACACACACACACACAAATAAATAAATAAATTTTAAAAAATGACTTTTAATTATGAGAATCGGGGGCCTGGCCTTAGCTCAGTTGTTTAAGTGGCTGCTTCCACAAAGCTATCAGCCTCAGGTTGCTGTAGTTCGATCCCCACAACACACCAGCCAGCCAAACCACCCCTTAGGGCATTTAGAGCAAAAAAAAAAAAAAACAACTTATTAATTATGAGAATCATCACTGTTGAATAGAATATTCAAGATTTAGCATAAATGTATAGCTTCCAGGCCCCCTGCTTTTCTCATATGTGGTTTGGATAAATACTTGAACAGATAGCTTAAGTGACATAAAGAGGGCTGGATGTATAGCATATCAGAAAAGCACCTTTTTAGCATGTGTGAGTCCCTGGGTTCAGTCCTCAACACCCACGCACAAACACACAAAAAAGAAAAAGATACAGATAAAACTATACTTAAACTATTCATTTCAGAATTTGCCTGTTAATTAGAATGTTTGGGTAGTCTGTTTAATACAGTAAGCCTTACCTTTCTTGTTAATTCACACTATAATGTATATCTGTGTGATGCAGTTCTACTCACTTTATTTTTAGAACCAGATGTAAGTTCAGAGGAATCTATCTCCACTGTAGAAGAACAAGAGAATGAAACTCCACCTGCTACATCTAGTGAAACAGAACAGCCCAAGGGAGAACCTGAGACTGAAGAGAAGGAAGAAAATAAGTCTTCTGAAGAAACCAAAAAGGAGTAAGGAGTTATACCTTCTTCCTGTTTGTAAATGAAAACCAAGTAAAAGGAATGTAGATCAGATTGAGCTAAAAAATGTTGCAACATTGGTTAATGCTAGGTATTTGCTAGTTGAGTTTACTTTTTAGAATTATCATTTGAAATATTTATATGCAATTGCATAGGCTATTAGTATTTGTGGTACTTAGCAGAACAGTGGTTTGGGTAATCCACAAGACTTTGGAGTGTTTTTTTATGCTTACAATTCATATTTTAAGCATTGGAAAAAACTCAACAAGAAATGAAATACATAATACAGGGTCCTGAGTTCAATCCCCGGTACTGCACTAAAAAAAAAAAAAAAGAAATGCAGAAAATCTGACCTAGAATCAGGCGTGATGCTACATGCCTGTAATCTCAGGATTTGGGAGCCTGAAGAAGGAGGGAGGTTCACTATAAATTTGAAACTAACCAGGGCTGCATAGTGAGGCCCTGTCTCAAGACAGTAAAAAAAAAAAAAACCAAAAAAACTGACCTGGGAGATCGTCACCATTTTTTTTTTTTTTTTTTTTAAACCTCTGCTCCAGGAGTGGGTTGCTTTTACGTGTTCATTATAAAATATCAATCTGTGTGAGGCTGTTGGAGTAACGAAAACTATGTTTGGTGGAGTTTTCAATTAAAGGTGACTTTGAGCATCTGAAAGCAGAATTTGCAATTGATGATCCATATTTGTATACTGTTACTGGTAGCAATTCATTTTTAATTTTAGTGAGACACCACCCCAGTATAGCTGGTACTTTTCGTTCCATTCTTTTCATAATTGTCCAGTTAGAATTTATTTTTCTTTCTCTTTTTTTTTTCCAGAACCGGGGATTGAACTCAGGCCCTTGTGCTTGCCAGGCAAGCGCTTATTCTGCTGAGCTATTTCCCTGGCCCCTGAAGAGGTTGATAGAACTAAATTGTTTGCTTTGCTAGATTATATATCTAGCTAGTAGGTTAAGATAATATTCTTGGATATCAAACCAAAAATACAGAACCCACAGATAGACTTAACACTACCACTTTCTGGAAAGTTTATCTTGCATAATAACAGTTGTTTGTTTTAAAGGGAGAAAGATCAGTCTAAGGAAAAGGAGAAGAAAGTGAAAAAAACAATACCTTCCTGGGCTACTCTTTCTGCCAGCCAGCTAGCCAGGGCCCAGAAACAAACACCGATGGCTTCCTCACCTCGTCCCAAGATGGATGCAATTCTAACTGAGGCCATTAAGGCAAGTTTTTATTTCAGCCAGTCAACTTAGATTTATTACATTCATCTCTTACTTGTTTGAAAATGGCATTCTCTGTCCAGATAACAGAAAACTTGCTTTGTTTCCTAAAGGGGACTTAAAAGAAGGCCTGTGAGGTACACATCTTTCTAATCCAATCACATTTGGTTACCACAGTTCTTTTAAAAAATTCATATTAATTCTAGTAAGATTTTAATTTTTCTTAGTACATTTGTAATATGTAATTGATTAATTTCATCATGGGGAATTGATACATCTCCTCTTCCCTCTCAGCTTCCTCCCTCTTTTAGTCCCCTTTCCATTTACAAAAGGTCTAGCTCCCTGTTTCCTATTATCTATTGATAATAGTAATATTTATTAACTCAACTGATTACACTGGTTGGTTGGTTGGTTGGTTGGTTGGTTTTTTGGTTATCAGGGATTGAACTCAGGACCTTGTGCTTGCCAGGCAGGCACTTATTCCACTGAGTTATCTCCCTGGCCCCAGAGATTTTATTTGAAGGGTGAAATGCCTATTTCAAAATATGCTAAAAAGGACTGGGCTATAGTTCAATGCAAGAGTCTGGGTTCTATACTCAGTACAGGGGGATGGGAAGACCTTTTCTTATAGTAGTGTATACTTGTAATCTATTGGGAAGGCTGAATCTAGGGATTTGAGGCTAGCCTGGGCAGCACAGTGGGACCTTGTCTCCGAAAACAAAAAACAACAACGAAACAGTGGATGTGGTAGCACATTATTATAATCCCAGCACTCTGGGAAGCTGAGATAAAAGATTCCCAAGTTTGAGCCCAGCCTGGGCTATTTATTTATTTATTTATTTTGTCCCATAAGATTATTTTTTTTCCATAATTTTATTGAGAAACAAGTAGCAATGAGACAGTTTCAAACCAAATTGGTAGGACAGTTTCAATAATTAACACATTGCATACATTCTTCCTAGTGGTTAATT